TTTTTTTTTTTTTAAGATGGAGTTTCACTCTTGTCACCCAGTTAGTGGTGCAATCTCGATTCACTGCAGCCTCCGCCTCCCAGGTTCAAGCGATTCTCCTGCCTCAGCCTCCTGAGCAGCTGGGATTACACGTGCCCGCCTACATGGCAAGCTAACTTTTTCTTTAATATATTTTTAGTAGAGACCGGGTTTCACCAATGTTGGCCAGGCTGGTCTGGAATGCCTGACCTCAGGTGATCTGCCTGCCTCAGCCTCCCAAAATGCTGGGGATTACAGGTGTGAGCCACCAAGCCAGGTCAGAATTCCCCAGGGTCTTGAAACAAAGACATCCCAACAATGAACAAGCCTTAACAAAACTACATTTGAGAGGTGAAAGGAGGTAATTATTTAATTTTCTGTATCTCTCAATATTTCCACTGTGTTTATAGACAGATACATACCAAAAGGGCAGTTACAAAGACAGTAGTTCTGGGAGGACAGACCAAGAGAGACTCACCTGCCATTTCAGTCTCAAAGAAGCCAATGAGAGGCTGCATGAAGGACAGGATCCACTGGTCCGTAATGTTGGGGCTTTTTCTAACTGTGTTCTCATTGTAGGGAAATTCTATTTCTTCTTCCTAGGAATGAACAATCAGTGAAACACTTGCACACTGGGGTAAGTTACTATAAGGAAATAAACTTTTAATATCACTTAAACAAACAGATAAAAAATATCCCAAACCCTGCTGGCAATGTGAATTTCTGATTTTCATTAATATTTTCAAGAAAAGCACCAACATAGGACATTAAGTCCTCAATTATGTTTTTGAGTGAACTGAAGAGAGTTTAGGAAAACATTACTTCTCTGCACCAAACAGTAATTACGAATTGAGAGATATTCTAAAACCCTGTCAGAAAGTGCAGGGTTTAATTACTTTAAACCTCAGGAAGGAAGGACAGTAAAACTGTCTAGGACTGAACGATTGTCCGCAAACTGAAAATGAGTACTGAGAAGTAACTGCCATGCTAAAGCTGTTCATTTTACCTAGAATGTTCTATCTCACTCTTTGCAAAATCCTCCTTGATCTTAAGTCCCTGCTCCACACACAGAACTCATGTCCTGCTTTGCTTCTCTGGCAGCACCACAACCAGGCTCTAGCATAGGTATATTAGCTCTAGCATAGATATATGGCACATGGCTCTGTAGGTACAAAATTAAAATAAATGATGAAAGAAAATTCAAATACCAACAAGACAGGGAACCTAGAAAGGAAGTAAGGCAGAGGCAATCTGCATCTAGCCTGGGGAAGGCTTGGACAGCTCGACAACACCCAACAGAGGTCCTCTTCCCCAAACAGACCTCTAGGTTTAAAAATGTCTTTATTATCTAGAAAACTATTTGGGGAGTTGAAGATCAACAAGCATACCAACATAACACCCAAATTATAACAGAGATGTGTTGTTAAAAACCTAACTATAAACTAAATCTAAGAATTCTAATAGTATAGGAGACGCTTACATAAAAAACAATAAATACACACAAGGCAAAGCACTGGTTTGTACCTGAGCGCATCAGCACCATACTTCTGGATAACGGAAACTGGATCTGGGTAATTCTTTTTCTGTTTGCTCATTTTTTGGCCATCACTTGTAAAACAAAAGGGAGATGCCAATTAAGTCAATATCACAGATGATCTTGATATAAGGATACAAAGTATTTGCAAAATACAAAAGGAATACAAAAAAGGAAATGGGAAGGAGTAACTCAGAAGTTAGTGTTAACAGGCCAGTCACAGTGGCTCATGCCTATTATCCCAGCACTTTGGGAGGCTGAGGTAGGCAGATCACCTAAGGTCAGGAGTTCGGGACCAGCCTGGCCAACATGGTGAAACCCCGTCTTTTACTAAAAACACAAAAATTAGCTGCATGTGGTGGTGCACACCTGTAATCCCCACTATTGGGGATGTTGTTTTGGTAGGTTTACCATGATTTTGCTTGAATCGCTCTCCATCAATCTTCTCAGCTAAGATCGAAGTGAGCTGCACGGCGGAAGAGGGCTGCACGTAAAAAGGCAGCTCTGTCTCAGAGGACAAAAGGCCTGGGAGCACCCAGACAGGCAGGCACTGCGTGGAGGTCGCTCCTCTCCCAGGATTCTGACATGCGCGGGGGTGCATGGAAATGGGAACAAGACACTGCTGGAGAGCATCCTGGCGTGTCTCAGAATGGACATGGGTAGTGGATTCCTAACTCCTGGAGAAACCAGAGCTCTAGGAATTGTAGGCCGCTTTATGTTAGGAAAGAAAAAGATGGTGTTCTGTCCTCCTGTCCCTTACATCTGGACCTACTGCTACTAAACCTGGAAGCTGAGAAGGGCATAATGGCGACTCCAGACGTCACGGCATCAAATCAGACTATTTCTTTTTTTTGCAACGGTTGTGTTTAGTGGTGAAGCCAAGAATCACACTTCAGTCTCGTTACTGCAAGTTCTCACTCTCACAGGGAGACTTAACAATAATGACTTAATATATTACACTTTTCTGGGAAGACTTACTAGATAAAGTTCAAGATCCCAGTGAGTGGTGAATAATACAGATAAAGGACAAACAGATTTTTTGTAAAAGTATACTCTAAATATCATATGAATCACAATTACAATAAAAACTAATTTACTGCTTATCTTGAATTCAAATTCTGCTTGGCATTCCTTATTCATACTTGCTAAATCTGGCCACTCTTCTTCCATGCATTTTTAATTTTAAAACACAGTACAACATCTGATTCTAGCAATATACCTACAGAAATAAAGACAGGAACCACATTACTACTGAGACAAACACAGTCACTGCAAGTATCAGAGTAATGGAACATATTAATATATCAACTTTCACCCAAAAAAACCTGAAAGAATTTGCAGACAGCAAAAATAGCTTTTGCTGTCCTTTTGTTTGTATAATATATCTCTGGAAAGATGAAAAAGAATCAGAACACCCATTTGTTACAGGAAAGAAAATGTTGTGGATAGGAAAAAAGTGGGAGGAAGACTGGTCACTGCCTACTCCACTGTGCACAATTTGAATCTGGAACCATGCAAAAGTATTGCTTGGTTAAATTAAAGTCATTGAAAAGATAAAAAATAAACATTTAATACCAGCACAATATGCTGGGAAACAAAATGAAAGGCTTTCTGGCCGCAAAGCCGCTCTTTCCCAGACTGAGGCTTTCTAGTAAAAGCTTTCTGCCTGAACCAGGCAGACGACCCAGACGTGGATCGTCTGACAAACACAAGGGTTCTTAGAAAGTGCTCTAAATTGTGTTTAGGAAGTGCAGCCCCTGTTGAGATTCATCAAGAGTGGGAAAGAGCCCAAGTGGGAAGCAGCATGGGTTGAGGGGCACAAAAGCAGGTCTGTTGACAAAGACTGGAAGTAAAGGGGACATCAGGTTGAAGCTTTGTGCTGTGAGTCAGAAGAACAATTTAAAAGTTGCCTAAAGAGGTGCACACAGTCTGTGCTGCTGCCGTCCAGCTGGAAGGGAACCTCAGTTCTTGCCTATTGGCTGGAGCCCTTCACAGAATGTCCCCCACCCCTACCAGTACCTGCTGCACTGCCCCTCCCCCTCTGCAGAATGTCTGGGGTCCTATGTTCTAAACCTATTTACTTTCAAATTTTCCCTGATCCACCTGAACTCAGGAGAGTCTGTTGAGGCAGGTCACTCTCTGGGCCCTGCCCATGACTTTTGTCATTGTGGAAACTGTCAGACAGTGGTGATCAGCATCCATCCTGAGGAAATGGCTTCAAATGGAGGTGAGTCTGTAGGGAAAGGGGCATTATCCAAGTCTCTGCCATGTTTCAAATCCTTGGGAATTCAAATTTCACACTGCCCCGGGGACAGTTGATAGGGCTGACGTTGAGGAGGGAGGGAGCACTGGATGTCCCCAAAGAAATCACACCTGGGGAGGGCCATGGCACCCTGAGTCTGTGGTTAGGGAGGATGGCTCCTTAGAGGTGGACCAAGGTGCCTGGGGGAATACACCATGTAGTGGAAAGGATGTATTGATTCTTTCTAGAGGGGGACAGGTCATGTCACTGTGTAGGGAGTGGTGCGATCCTGTTGTGCTGGTGGCCCAGAGAGGATGACAGGCAAGTCTGAGCCCTGTTTTGTGTCTTCAGGCTCCTGGAAGGTGTCCTTCCATAGTGTTCAGAGGGATTTGGACTGGACTTTTCTAGATGTTAGGGAGGAGTAGGGAGAAGTGGTCTCAGCCAGAAAACTGTTGGGTGGGTTGGCTGTGACAGAGCATCCAGTGACAGCCTTTGGGTGGGCAAGGCTGGGGGTACTGTAACTGCCACAGTCTCTCAGCTCCCTCCCCAGAGGTGGCTTCTCTGTCAGTTCAGGTGGCTGTTGGCTCTGATTTAACAGGGGTGGGGGCAGTTGGGGAAGTTCAGGCAACACGGCCTGGGCTTCCCAGGTTGTTCTGAATTGTTCGTCGTTTTGTGGAAGCTCAGGTCTTCAGACCCACTTCCTCTTGTCTGCTAGCTCATGGCCTGTCCTCTGCACTTTGTGTTACTGTGGAGATGAAGGATTTGCTTCTATTCCATGTCTACTGCCTCATGAACAGGGGACAGGTGTGGACTCTTGCAGGTTCTCAGTGGAAGGGTCTGGAAAGATGGTTTCCTTTCCAGTAGAGGAAGGAGAGTAGCGCACAAATAGGAAGATGGTCCTCTTATTATTATTATTCAAGTTAGGGTGTGTGTCCTGACTGATGAGGTGCACGTGTTGTATCCCTATTCCCCTTGATTGGAGACTGCATGAGGTCCTAGTGAACAGGGATGAGCTCCAGACAACTATGCCCCACCTGGCCCATGGCCCAAGAACCTCTGGTTCTTGGTTGGTCACTATATTCAGTTATTGGGAGCTCAAAGGAAAAGGACCAGAGATGGGCTCGCTGTCCCACGACCTACTGTAACATGACCAGCAGCTGTGAAAATCCCCGGACACCTCCCCTGACAGCTCAACTGCTCACCGCTTGCTGGCTGTGCTCTAATCATGTGCCGCTGTTGCTGGCTGAGCAATGACAGTATCTCAGGGAACTTCACCACTGCTTCTCAGACCTGCTCCCTGGGAAGAGAGCTTCCTGAGTGACAGCCAGGACCACCGAGCACTGAGGAAAGTGTTGCCTGACTCTGACCCTTGTTTAGCACTTGCTGGGCATGGGCAATCACTTGCACACTGGGTATGATGTGTATGGGTTATCTTCAGGGTTCACAGGGTGCTGGCTTGGGAGAGATTTCCATGCAGTGGTTTTCTTTCATTGTTTCTTTTTTGAGATGGAGGCTTGCTCTGTCAGCCAGGCTAGAATGCAGTGGTGCAATCTTAGCTAACTGCCAGGCTCTCTAGTGAAGTGACCCTCCTGTGGAAGAACAGAGCATGTGATGCACACTCAGGGACATTTGCAAGCTGCAGTTTCCCTGTCACATGCCCTCAGTTGTAGGACACCCCTCTGATTCCTCAGTGACTAAGGAAGACCTGAGACCCCAGTTCATTCACCTCTTTCCTTCGTCTCCACAGCATACCCAGTGCTGGGACCCAGTGTGACAGAGAACCCAGGCACCTCCATGCCTGTGTTCACGGCTCTGTCCTTTGCCACACTTCCTCCCGGCCCAGCACACGGGCCGCCCCTCGTGACTGTGGTGGTTCCTCCAGGTGGCCCTCCAGTGCTCTCTGCCTTCCCCAGGACCCCTAAGGTGGCAGGACAGGATGGCCAGAATTCGGCTGGGGCTTCCAACATCCTTGTCCAGATGAGGACAGAAGTGGGGCCTATGAAGGCCCCTCAGGCACAGACCTTGGTCCTAACTCAGGCCCCCCTCATCTGGCAGGCTCCAGGTGCTGTCGGTGAGGGCGTCGCATGTCCACCTCCTCGACCCCTGGCAGCGGCCCCTGTGCTGCCGGCTATGGCTGCCCAGGTCATTGGGGGCACGCAGGCCTGCGAGGGAGGCTGGTCCCACGGCCTTCCTCCTCCAGCACCACTAGCGGCTCCCCAGCCAGCCCCCATCGTGGCCCCAGGGAACGCTGGTCCATGGCCACAAGGGGCTCATGGAGAGGGCAGCCAGGCTCCCTACCAGGCCAAGGCTCCGCCAGAGGACTCCTGCAACTCCAAGAGCGTGTATGAGAACTTCCGACTCTGGCAGCACTACAAGCCCCTGGCCCGGAGGCACCTTCCCCAGAGTCCGGACACGGAAGCGCTTTCCTGTTTCTTCATGTGAGTGTCCTCGGGGCACCGGAGCTAGTCCTGCAGCTCACCCGTAAAGAGGCTGCTCGATGGATGGGAGGTCACGCTGTTCAGGAGAGCTTGCAGGGCGTTCTTGAAAGCAATGGGTTGCACTATCAAAGGGCACATTTTCAGCAACATTAATCTGGCTGCCGCTCAGGTCAGACTCTCAGGGGCCTCATGTCACCTGCTCCTCACTGTCCTGTGAGTGCAGCCAATCCTTACTTCCAGTCATTTTCATGACAGTGTTTACAGAAGACCCAGGTCAGAGAGGGTTCCTGGTCCGACATGAGCCACGGGTTGGGTTTAGGACTTGAGTGCACCCCAGTGCCTCCCCTTGACCTGAGTGGCGAAGGCCAGGGGCACAGCACATGCGCTGTGGGTGGGAGCTGCAGGAACCTGGCACATGCCCACTGCTCTGCCAAGGTCCAGCTGGCACAGCGGTGGTGGAGCCTGCACAGGGGATGGTCTCGGGCCTCGCACTGGGGTTCATGCTGGGCAGGTATTTGCAGCTTCGCCCTTGATCCCTCCTAGAAAAAGGGACGACGATGCTTCATCCAGAGGACGGTGAAGAGGTGACTTGAGCTCACTTATGACACATATAGCAGTGTCCGGCACATGCTGTGACACGTTACATGACAGCAGTTATGATTACTGTCCCTATTACTATCATTATCAGGACTAGGCCATCTTGCACAGTGCTCCCCAAAGCCACAGGCTCCAGTGATGGCTCTGAGTGCACCACGAGCCCAGCAGCCCAGGGCCGTGGACTGTGGTGACTGAGGCAGCAATGCCAACATCTGGGAGAGTTTGTCAATTCAGTCCCAGTCCTGCCTCTCTCCATCCTGCGGTGCCTCTGTGACCCTGTGTCCCCCGCTGATGAGCAAACCCGTACTCCACGGGAGCTTGAGCACATCCACCAGGCAACACAGGCCACTCCCCTAGGCAAGTCCCCTGCCCAGGGTGTAGGTGTGAGGCAACGCCATCTTTGTCCCAAAAATCTTGCCGCCCCTGCATCCTGCGACTGGTTGCATTCTCCCTTGAAGCTGAGTCCCGGTGCACTGGGGACCCTGATTCTCGGAGTGGAGCCGCCCCAGGCTCACAGGCTCCACATGCAGTGGGCTTGGATGCTGCTCTGCTTTGCTTCTGGTTTCCGCTCCTCTCCAGGACCCTGAGGCTGCGTCCCCAGGGGCTGCCTTGCTCCAGAGTCCCCAGGAAGCTGGTGAAATGCGCAGTCCTGTGGCCCTGGAACCTGCACGTTAACCCTTGCTCCCCGGACATTCTGTGTGCGCGCTGTCTCAGTCAGCTCAGCTTCACCATAACAAATCCTATAGACTGGGTGCTTTATCAGGACACAGTCACGTCTCCCAGTTCCAGAGGCCAGAAGTCCCAGATCAAGGCGACAGCAGATTGGTGTCCTGGCTGGAGACAGCTGCCTCTGGCTGTGTCCTCTTGTGGCTGAGAGGGAGAGCCCTGGTGTCTCCTCCTGCCCTTATCAAGGCTCAGATGCCATGACATGAATCCACCGTCATGACCTGCTGTAACCCTGATTGACTCCAAGAACCGGCACACCGGGGCTTAGGGCTTCGGCACAGGAATGCTGAGGACACACAAGTGAGACCCACAGTACTGAGTTCACTTGTCAACACTGTAACACTGAGGACTCCGGGGCAGTTGGAGAGGTCACCCGGTGGCTTGTTTTGATGATTGATCTTGGAGGTGTGTCGCGTCCATGTAGGGGAGAACAACACAGGGACAGATGGCAGGACACATGTGGGGAGGACAGGGGCTGGGTGTTGGGACCAGGTCGGTTTGGGATGGAGGTGGGCTTGTGGACTGGGACTGACTGCACTGCCTTACAGCCCAGTTCTCAGATCCCTGGCCCGGTGGAAGCCCCGCATGACCCTGGAGGAGGGACTGTGGCGGGCCGTGCAGGAATGGCAGCACACGAGCAACTTTGACCGGATGATCTACTATGAGATGGCGGGAAAGTGAGTCTGGGGTGCAGGGACAGAGCCCCCATGGCAGGGTGAGAGAGGGTGACACAGGCCTGGCGGCCATGGTGGCTTCTCAGCATGGAGCATGAGGAGGGTGTGGACAAACAGGCCCTCCTGGGCCCCTGGCTCCCTCAGGAAGCTGTTCCTCCCTCCTAGAGTGCTCTGGGGTCTCTAACCGGCCCTGGAGGGAAGCCACGCCATGCCTGGCCTGCGGCCAATCCCTGCCTGACACTGGGGGTCATGGAGGGAGCAGCCAGCATCCCAGCCCAAAGGTGGTCACCACCAGCTGTGAGAATGAGGAGAAGGGGCGCTGGCGACTATAGACAGAGCGGGGTGCACTCTCCTCACAGCAGTGACCGGAAGTCGGTTTTCACCCATCCCGGCCTTGCCAGGATTGGAGAAACCTGCCTTGGGTCGGGGAGACCTGCATCCAGGACACCATGAGACCCATCTCTGGCCTGCCTGCCTTTGCTCCTGGGCAGTCCCCTCTGTTAAGACAGACAGACAGCAGCCTCAGGGGAAACGGGTCCTGTCTTCGGGGCTCAGCTTTTTCTTCCTCCCGACCAGGGGTCTCCCAGGCCTCGTCATCCTGGGTTATCCCCACAGTCCCAACCTCAGGACTCCAGCATCTGGGCAACATTCCTGACCCCTTCTGCCATAAACCCCACCACTGGCCAGCTGAAGCCTGGAGGAGGGGTCCCCCTGGTGCCCTCCAGGGCCTCATGGCCCTGACTTGAGTCAGGAAGCCCTGTTGATGCCATGGGCTCTGCAGGGGCCGGGTGAGGGAGGGTGAGCCCACAACTCTGGGAGCAGCTCCGTCCTGGGACTGGGGGATGGGTCCCAGGGAAGGCCTGGACAGCGCCCGAGGCACTGCTTCCCATCACTGCCATCGGCTGCTGCCTTGTCCTGGGGGCAGGGGGCCTGGACCCTCTCAGCACGGGCTGCACCTTCTTCACCCCAGGTTCCTGGAGTTTGAGGCTGAGGAGGAGATGAAGATTCAGAAGTCGCAGTGGATGAAGGGGCCCCAGTGCCTGCCTCCTCCAGCCGTGCCGAGGCTTGAACCTCAAGGAACTCCGGCCCCTCAGGTGGCCAATCAGCCTGGTACGGCTTCCCACATTCCCACAGGAGCCACGGCAAAGGCCACAGGGGCCAAGGGAGGCCACTGTCCCCATACCTCATGCTTACCTTCAAGAGGTGCATTTGCTCCTTCCAACAAAATAGCTCAGGGGAGCTGGGGGCTGGGCAGCCCGGGGTGATGAAGTAGGTATTCACCTGGTCAAGTTTCCTAGCGACTCTCTCTCCTTGCCATTCCAAAACTCAACAATCTGCCCAGGAAGCAGGGATGAGCAGGTAGAGTACTCAGCTTATCAGTGACTCCAAGCTTCCTCCAAAATGATGCTGTCTCACATGTGCCCCTCCTGCGGCGTCTCCTCTGGGGCGCTGTGGTTCAGGTGGTCCTGACCCAGCTGGGACCCACTTCATGTCCCCGAGCCCTGCCCTCCCCTGTGTGGTGCAGGCAGGAGGAGCAGCCCTCACCACGCCTGTCCTCTTCCCTCCCTGCCTCAGTGTACCTTCCCAGCAAGGCCGGCCCCAAGGCCCTGCTTGCCTGCCTGCCATCACCCAGGCCTCAGCGGCCAGCAGAAACCAAGGCCCACCTGCCACCACTCAGGCCCCAAGAGCCAGCGGAGACCAAGGCCCCCGAGGAGATACCCCCTGAAGTGGTGCAGGAGTATGTGGACATCATGGAGGAGCTGCTGGGGCCTCCCGATGGGGCCACGGGGGAGCTCAAGGCACAGTGGGAAGAGGGCGAAGTGGAGCAGGAAGGGGACGGGATGCTTCTAGACCCAGGCCTCCTGAGCTACATTGACAATCTGTGTTCCCAGAAAGACTTCGTCACCAAGGTGGGCTGGCCTGAAGTGCTGGGGTCTGCAGAATTCCAGGGGGTGGCACTCGCAGGTCCTTGGAATTAAGCTCTGCTGTGTGTTTGTACCTGTGTTTTTTTATTGTGTGTTTTTGTGTGTCTGTGTGGGTGTGAGTGTGGCGTGTGTATGTTACTTGTGTCTATTTTCCTGTGTCTATGTGATCTATTTGTGTGTGGTTTGTGTGTCTCTGTCTGCATGTGTGTATGCTACCAGGTCTGTGATCTGTGTGTGGAGCTGGTGGTCGCCATGATATGAGACAGCTCCAGAAGGGTGGGGACGGGGCACTCGCTGCTTTCTGCATCTCCTCCAGGTTACTCCCTGCCCGGGAACCTCACGCTGTCTTCCTCTTGTTTCCAGGTGGAGGCCGTCATTCACCCCCGATTCCTGGAAGAATTGCTTTCTCCAGATCCACACATGGATTTCTTGGCCCTAAGCCAGGAGCTGGAGCAGGAGGAAGGACTCACCCTTGCCCAGGTAGAGCAGGGAGGGAGGGGAACCCAGGTACCCTGGGGGCAGGAAGAACCTGGCACACAAGCCCCACCTGATTGTCTACTCCACCCTGTAGGGGATGCTCGGCTTCTTGGGGAGCCACTCCGAGGTGGGGAGGTGCAGGTTCAGATGGAGCAGGATGGAGAGAAGCCAGGAGGGGAGTCAGGATGCAAACTGCAGTGAGGCCCAGCGGGATGCCCGGCAGAGCCACACCCTCTCTTTGACAGGAAGCCCAGCTGCCTCAGGCTTCCCTGCCTGCCGCCCAAGTGCCCTGGTCTCTGCCACCCTGGGCCCTGCTCACACTTGGGGCAGCGCCAGTAAGTGCCCCCTTTCCTCCCGCAGGTAGTGGAGAAGCGCCGCCTATCCTTGAAGGAGGAACGATGTGCGAGGGCAGACCCTAGTCATGGCACAGCCCAGTTGGACTCAGTGTCTTCTGAGTCTGCAGTGGGCCAAGGAGCAGAGAGAGATGTCCCTGGCCCCCAGCAAGGGGTCAGCATGGAAACCTGCCCACCCCAGATGGCTGCCCGGGACCCTCAGGGACAAGGCAGAGCACGCACTGGCATGGCCAGGTCTAAAAACCCTGTTAAGCTTTTGGAGAGTCTGGATTCCCACAAGCTGAGGGCTGCCCCGCCAAACTCTCCTCCCCAGTATTACAGACCCATCCCCCAGAGGGCTTCCCAGGACCCTCAGGGACAAGGCAGAGTATGCACTGGGATGGCCAGTTCCATAAACCCTGTTGTGCTTTTGGAGAGGCTGGATTCCCGCTGGCTGAACTCTGCCCGGCCAGACTCTCCTCCCCAGGACCACAGACAAAGCCCCCAGATGGCCTCCCGGGACACTCAGGGACGAGGCAGAGAGCGCACTGGGATGGCCAGGTCCAAAAACCCTGTGGTGCTTTTGGAGAGACTGGATTCCCGCTGGCTGAGATCTGCCCGGCCAGACTCTCCTTCCCAGGACCATAGACCTGCCTGCCCAGGTGTGGGGACCAAGGATACCTGGGGTCTCCCTGGAGCCTCTCCTGTCAAGGAGTCATGCAGGCTGTCTAAGGGGTCAAGTGAGGAGGAGAGGGAAATCCCTGGTATGGTTTCTGTCGTGGGTACCAACTACAGGCTGCAGCCCTGGAAGGTGTCCCAGAGCCCTGTCCCTGCCTCGGGCTTTCTCAGCCCAGAACGGCGGGGACCCCACGGAGCTCTTCAGTCCCAATCTGCAAAGAGAAGAGGCCTCAGCCCAGCACCCGCTCCTGCCACCAAGTCCAAGAAGCGAGCTCTCTTCGGAGGCTCATCCCCTGCTGAACAGACGCCCCACCTAGGGCCTGGGCTCAGAGTCTCTGGGGCGCAATCCCTGGCTTGGGGGCTGGGTGGCCCCTCACAGTCCCAAAAGAGAAAGGGTGATCCTTTGCTCGCTAAGAGGAAGAAAAAGCAGCACCGCAGCCAGTAGGGGGACAGGGCAGGCTCTCTGGTGCCAATCCTCAAGGGTGGGGCTCTTAACTCTCGGACCCTCACGGCACCGGGTGACCCCAAAGCAAAGACTTCTCCCCCAGTGCTGATCTTGCTGGGCATTAGCTTTGGAGAGTGGGGGAGGGAGGGGAGGGAGAGAGTTGGGGAGGGAGAGTGTGGCTGAACGGGAAGGGAGGGCCTAGGGGGAGGGGGTAGGAGGTGGGGAGCAACACCTTGGGGGTCTCGTGTGGAAATATGAATAAATATAGTTGTGTTGGGAATGCTCTCCGGCTGCTGCCTTTGTCCTCAGGGCTGTGCTGCTCAGTGGAGGGGGTCTGTGAGGGAAAGCAGAGGGACTGGGAGATGCCAGGCAGTGGGGACCCACGGGGGCCAGCCCCACTTGTTCCTCCAGGTGTAGGCTGCCCCTTCAGATGCTCCAGGGACTGACAGATGCTCAGGAAGCCCTGATCCCTCCCACCACCCACTCACAAGGCCCCACCTGCTTCAGTTATCAGCATCCCTGGGAAATCCTGGGATGGAGAGAGCTGGCTGGCTCTTGTTCTGCCCGGTGGGAGCTGAGGAGAAGGCAGCTGCCTGCAACATGGACACAGGGAGAGGCGGCCGCTCCTGCTTAACCCTCATTAGGAAGAGCTCGGGCCCTGGGCTGAGGGGAGATGTCGAGGTGTCCATCCACACGGGTGTGTTTGGGGTACGACAGTGGGTGGGGAGCAGGGGAAGTCCCTCTGCCGGTTTCTGGGCAGGAAAGAGTCTTGTCCAAATGGCAGAAGCAGATGCTCCTTGCTGTGGCCATGGGGACTGGCCTCAGGGGCCCTCGGGGTCCTGCATGGAGCCCCCCACAGCTATGACTCCCTTCCCATATGATGACTGAACTCTTGTGTGGAATTGATGCAGACACAGATTTACACTGGTATCTGAAAAAGTTCCCTCCCAACCCACCATCACCAATGGGCACAAGCATGGCCAGCCTGCCAGGCGCAGGGTGGGTGTGTCTGCTGGTCCCAGGGCCAGGGAGAGCTGGGACCCAGGCCTAGAGGGGCCGAGGGTGAGCCGCCCTTCTGCCAGGCACAGACCTCAAGGGCAGAGCAGGGGCTGCCTGGATGTGGCACTGGCTGTCTGGGAAGTGCCCTGGGAGTCGGGGGCCTGGTGTTGGCTGAAGGGAGACTTCCGGAGTCTAAGAGTGAGATGAGGACTGCACCAGGAGACGGACTGAGGCTGGGGAGGACCCTCTGCTCTTTCCCACATTGTCCTGTCCTCCCCATCTCTGCTGAACTCCCCTCACCCGATGTGGCTGACCTCTACCCCCTTACCCCTAACCCACCTCTCAGAATCTCAGATCCCAGCATAGACAGGACCCGGCACCCGCCCGGTTCCCTCCTGGCCAACACCTTCTTCACCGTCTGAGTTCCGATTCCTCCCCAGGGCCCTTGTTGGCTCAGGACCACGGTGACTGCCAGAGCACTGGTCCCAGCACTCCCTGTATGCAGAGCTGTGGTCATGGTGCTGGGGGCTGGCCCAGCAGCAGAGGTTGGTGGGGCACAGCTGTCCGGTACACGGTGGTGTGGCCCCTCCGCTGAGTGACAAAGGGAGCTACGTTTGGGTCCTCTCTGGCCCCATCCACCAAAAGAACACACCAGTCAGCTGGACAGATGCCCCTCTGCCCCATCCCTTCTGCTCCACGTGGGCAGTGTCGGAGGCCTGCCCTCTGTGGCCTTTGGGAAGAAGAGTTTATCTTGGCAGGGCTTTCCCAGCTCAGTGCACATCAGGCCATCGGAGAAAATGTGAGGAGTGAATAGTCACTGGTGGGTGATGTGCGCAGTTCCCGTGACTCCTCTACCTTCAGGGCCATCCTCAGGAGACGAGGTAGCACCTCCCCTTTGCAGGGTTGAGGAATGGTAAGTGAGCCGTGTTTGAAGGGAACGTGGTCTGTATTCTGGCTGGCTTGTGTGGGTGCTCCGCCAACTTCCTCACCTAAGGATGAAAGTGACACCTCGGCTTAGTGACACCTCGGGACTCCTGCTGGTCACCCCATTGGCTGTTGTCTGCCCCATGTCCCTGTCCTTGTTTTGGGTGAAGCATTCCCAGGAGGCAGAACCTGTGCTTCCTCCACCTCTGTGTCCCGCCTGAGCCCTAAACTCTCCCCCTACATGGGGACAGTGGGGGCGACTGGGGGACTCTGACAGACTGAATGTTCGTTCCCCTACCCCCACCCAATTCCTATGTTGAAGCCCCAATCCAGGATAGGTGATGATATTTGGAGATGGGGCCTTTGGGAGTTCTTAAGGGTTAGAGGAGACCACGAGAGTGGGGCCCTAATGTTGGGATTAGGGCCCTGGTAAGAAGCAGAGACTCCAGAGCTCTCTCTCCCCGACACGAGGACACAGTGAGAAGGGAGCCGTCTGCAAGCCACAAACAGAGCCCTCACCAGAACCTCACCACACTGGGACCCTAAGCTTGGACTTCTAGCCCCCAGACTGTGACAAATGCACTTGTTTTTAATGTGCTCCCCCAAGTCTATGACACTTCACCTTAGCATCCCTTTGTGACTAGCACAAGGTCCACCATCTCAGGAACTTCCTTCCTAACTGGTATCTGAAATCTGCATCAGAGCCATGGGAAAGAATGAAGGCTCAGCCCTTTACGACGGTCAGCACACCTCCACCTCAAATGCAGTGTATCACACGTGAACCAGGAGTGCTGTGGGACACCGTGAAGGGGAATCTGCAAACCCGTAATGTCATCACATCCATGCTCAGGGAAGCCAGGCAGCTCGCTCACAGCAGGTGCTGGGGCTGTGCTGAGGATCTCAGTGAACTTTGCCTCCCTGCTCACACACCCAGGTCACATAGAAAAATATAATAGAAACCACATAGGAAAATATAATAGAAAACAAAATCCGTACCACGTAGAGGTGGGCCATGTTAACATTCTACCGCTTGCTCATTTTTGAAATAAAAGCTTTGTTACGACATTCGCATAGCATGCTTTCACTCACTGAAATTGTACAATTTGTGTTTTACATAGAATTTGCAACCATCATATTAAATACATTTATAAAATTTGCAGCTGTCACTGCATTAAGTCTAGTCACAGAATTTGCAAGTATCACCTTGATAAGCTTTAGAATATTTTATTGTCTCAAAAAGAAACCCTTGGTTGGGCATGGTGGTTCACTCCTGTAATCCTAGCACTTTGGGAGGCCAGTCAATTACCTAAGGTTAGGAGTTTGCTACCAGCCTGGCCAACATGATGGAACCCCCATCTCTACTAAAAATACAAAAAATTAGCTGGGTATGGTGGCGGGTGCATATAATCCCAGCTACTCGAGAGGCTGAGGCAGGAGAACTGCTTGAACCTGGGAGGCGAAGGCTGCAGTGAGCTCAGATCTCGCCACTGCACTCCAGCCTGGGCAACAAGAGCAAAACTTGGTCTCAAAAAAAAAAAGAATAAAAGAAAAAAACCCCTAGGTTGGGCACGGTAGCCCATGCCTGTAATCCCAACACTTTGGGGGGTCAAGATGCGTGGATCACTTGAGGTCAGGAGTTCAAGACCAGCCTGGCCAACATGACAAAACCCCTTCTCTACTAAAAATACAAAAACTAGCTGCGTGTGATGGCACACATGTGATCCCAGCTAAACGAGAGGCTCAGGCAGGGGAATTGCTTGAACCCCAGAGGCGGAGGTTGCAGTGGGCTCAGATTGTGACACTGCACTCCAGCCTGGGTGACAGAGTGAAAAAAAAGAAAAACAAAAACCTTGTCATTTAGCTATCACCCCCTGTCCCCCCATCTTGCACCCTAGGCCTACATAACCACGAATATACTTTCTACATAGCTTTACATACTCTGGACTTTCATATGAGTGGAATCATACAATATATGTCTTTCACAACCTGTCTTATTTTACTGCGAATATTTCCAAGGTTCATCTATGTATTTAGCATCTATCATCACATCAAATATTTTTGTTGCTGAATAATATTTCATTGGTGGATATCCTGAAACTTATTTACACATCAGGTGATGAACACTTGGGTTGTTTTCACTTTTTGGCTATTGTGAATAATACTTCTAAGAAATTTGTGTACAATGTTTTCTGGGGATGTATGTTTTCATTTCTCACAGCTATATACCTAAGAGTTAAAGTCATGGGCCACATGGAAACTCTATGTTTAACAACTTCAGAAGGTACCAGACTATTTCCAGTGTACATATACCATTTTATATACCCACTAGCTGTGTGAGGGTCTCAGTTTTTCTCCACATTCCAGCCAACGTTGATTATCTCTCTTTTTGATAGAGTCATCCCAGCGATTCTAAAGTTGCGTCTCCTCGTAGTTTTCATTTGTACTTCCCTGGTGTTGAACCTCTTTCATGTACTTATTGGTCATTTGTATATCTTCTTTGAAGCAATGTGCACTCAACATTTACTCATTTTTAACTGGTGTGTGTTTTGTCACTGAGGTATAATAACTCTTTATGTATTCCCAATAAAAGTCCTTTAAGGGGGGCCAGGCGAGGTGGCTCACCCCTGTAATCCCAGCACTTTGGGAGGCCAAGGTGGGTGGATCATTTGAGGTCAAGAGTTCAAGACAGCCTGACCAACATGGTGAAACCCCGCCTCTACTAAAAATAAAAAAAATTAGCCGGGCATGGTGGTACGTGCCTGTAATCCAGCTACTCGGGAGGCTGAGATAGGAGAACCACTTAAACCTCGGAGGTGGAGGTTGAAGTAAGCTGAGATTGCGCCATTACACTCCAGCTGGGCGACAAAGTGAGATACCGTCCCCAAAACAAACAAATAAACCCTTTACAGGATATAATTTGCAGCAATAGTCTCCCATTCCATGGGTTGTACTTAACTTTCTTTATTTTTCCATATAGATGCAGGGTCTCGTGATGTTGCCCAGGATGGTCTTGAACTCCTGAGCTCAAAAAATCCTCCCCTACCTCAGCCTCCCAAAGTGCTGGGCTTACAGACCTGAGCCACTGCACCCAGCCGTCATTTACTTTCTAGATACTACTCTTTGAAGCACAGAAGTTTTTTACTTTGGATGAAGTCCAATTTATCTATGTGTTCTTTTGTTACTTGCGCTTTTGGTGTCGTATTTAAGAAGTCATGGGCCGGGTGTGGTGGCTCACGCCTGTAACCCAAGCACTTTGGAGGCCAAAGCGGGCGGATCACCTGAGGTCGGGAGTTCAAGACCAGCCTGATCAACACGGTGAAACCCCGTCATTTAAAAATAAATAAATAAATAAAAAGAATTCATGAACTTGTGCTAGGTCATGAAGATTTATTCCTATGCTGCTGCTTTTGAAAAAATCATTTAAAACATTTTGAAGTGTACAGTGCAGTCCTTTAAGTACATTTACATCACTGTGAATATACTTAACACGTTAAGTATATTCTTCTTAATCTTTAGAAATTTAGATCTTTAGAAATTTGTCATCTTCCAAAACTAAAATTCTGTACACATTAAACACTAATCCCATCACCACCACTCCCACTCCCAGCCCTTAGCCATCACTACTGTGATGCTGACTACTTTAAATACTTCATATGAAAAAAAACATTTGTCTTTTTGTGATTGGCTTATTTAACTTAGCACAATGTTATTGGGGTTCACCTTCTAAATAGCTCACGAGTTAAGAAGGGAAATCTCAGGGAAAATTAAAAATAATATAAACCTAAATAAAAATAAAATAAAGAACCAGAAAAAGAGCAAAATAAAATCAGAGCATGCAGACGACAGGAAATAATAGAAGAATAAATCAATAAAACTGAAAACAGAAAATCAATACAATTAAAAAAAAATTTTTTTTTCAGACAGAGTTTTGCCCTGCCCAGGCTGGAGTGCAACCTGCCTTAGCCTCCTGAGTAGCTGGGACTACAGGCACACGCCACAATGTCTGGCTAAGTTTTGTATTTTTAGTAAACATGGGGTCTCGTCATGTTGGCCAGGCTGATCTCAAACTGCTGACCTCAAGTGATCTGCTCGCTTTGGCCTCCCAAAGTGCTGAGATTACAGGCATGAGCCACCACACACAGCTTAAAATCGTTTTTTTTAATATGATCAGTAAAGTTCACAATCTTCCGATGCTAAAATAATAGGAGATTCAAATTAAGAATGCCAGCACTGAAAGAGAAGATATAACCACAGATCCTATAGTCACTAAACAGATGATAAAAGAACAAACTAACAACTACATGCACACTCATGT